TTTATAGTTTTGTGCATCATGGATATTTTCAGTGCCATGGTGATTTTGACTTGGTAGACTTGAAAAGAGAAAATATCTTGAGACTTGGAGATATGAGTTGTTGGCCTTGACATTGATTTATCCAATGCACTTGTGCCCAAAATCAACATTCAGGTTTCTTCTTTAAAACTGGTTTATTTTATTTTTAGTAGTTTTAAGCATGCCTATAATGATCCCAATGATAATCGGATTGTTCTTGCTTTGACTCAATTCCTTTTTTTCTTGTGATTTGGCTTCTATTGTAGCGTTTGGATCGACATTTGGTTTTACAAGGGGCTAGATTGTTGTTAATTTGCTATTGGACTAGTTCTCCATTGGTTTGTTATTCGGCCTTCAAAGTTGGGCAGTTATTTTTTGTTCATTTTTGCCATGATTCACCATGATTGTTTTAGTTATCTGTCTCTGTGGATTGGCGCTTTGGCTTTTATTAGTTTGATCTTCTGTGACTGTCTCATGGACCTTTAATTGATGTTTTTTCGTTGGGCCTTACAAAAACATTGGATACTTTTTTCTGCTACTACTTGAGGGGGCTTACTTGTAGCCATTGGAAGATGCTTAACATGACTCATTTCTGCTGCCGCATCATGCGGTTCAGAAAATTATGACTTACGTGATCAAGCATTACGCACAATTTAGTAATAAGCTTATCTTTACTCCGTTTTTATTGGCCTAGCGAGCATATATCCCTGTGATTATACAGCCAGTTTTTTATGCAGTTTAGCTATTGAGTTTTGGGATGATCAAAGACGACTAATCCTAACAATATTTGTTGTTTATTACTAGAACATCATAAGGAATGCAAAAACGAATTATTTTTGCTTAATAACATTTGTGATTTCCTTCTATTTTGTGTGTACTTGTTGGATGTGAATGTTTTGAGTGTGGTGCAAGTGTGAATGTTAATTTTCTACCGAGCGATCTCTTTATACTGGTGTGGGGCCTGAATCCTTTTTAGTGATCTCATATTTAATTTTATTTCTTTACATGATTAATTTTTACCTTACCATTGTAATTGTTTCTAGTCAATTTTGGTACAGCTTATGCTTTATTTGGGGTAGCTTTTTTGCTGTATTGATTTTCAGATTGCCACCACAATTGCGTTTGACTACTGGTTTATAGAATTTTCTATGGCGGTGCTGTATTTTATAATCAAATTTGTTAAATTGTTGGAGTTGCAAGTAGACTGCTATATGAATTTTTTTAAAGAAAAAAAACTGGTAATACTCACAACAGTTTCTGAAAAAAAAAATTTCTCAGCATCTTTACAATTACTTTTATAAAAAGTTGCAGCGATCCCAAATGGAAATTTTAGTTTGTTATTTTTGATATGAATCTTCATTGGCTTATTTTCACTATCCCACTATTTTTATTTGAGTGTTTATTAAATTATCATTTGACATGAATTTCTCATATTTTTGAGATTCACTTTAGAAGATAATGAATTCCTGTCTCAATTGGTGGCATTTGGAACTGTAAATTTCAAATTCATTTTTGTGATCTTTGATTCATTATGTTTTTTAGTTGCATTAGGAGTGAAACCCTAAGGTGCCCTACATAAAATTGATTTATTTGATGCGAATTGTCATTTTTTACTCTTCTAATTTAATTTTAGTTTTACTTGTTTTAAACATGGCTATGTTTGGCCTCGGTTGCCTCCTTTGAATCTTTGTTTGGATTTTCGAGGGCCCAATTTACTGCTGCACTATCACTACGTTGTTGATGTAATTCAATTTGATTGTTTCATCTACAAGTTCTCTGTAGCTTGGGTCTTTGGCTTCAATTAGTTTGATCTTGCTTGAATTACTTGTGGGCCTTGAATTGTGCTTTGGTTATTAGGCCTTTACAAGAACATTAGATATTTTATTGTTTATTACTTGAAGTAGATTGTTCATCACCATTTGAACATTCTTTATGCGGTTGATTCCCATAGCTGCTTCGTACGGTTCTGAAAATTACAACTGGCGTAATTATGCATCATTTCCAATTCAGTTTTGTGCTCGTCTCTGATAATCAACTCTAGGAATTTCTTTTGTTTTTTTGTAGAACCTGAGGAATGGAAGAACTTTTTTTGCTTCATAAAATTTTAGATCGTTTTTTTCTTTTATGTACTTGTTGAATGCTGAATTCTTTGGTGGTGTAAGTCTGACTACCAATTTCAGATAGTTTTCTTGTTTTGGCCTAAAAAATTGGATTTTCTGTGTTTGATGATTGCTTACATACTTTTATTGGAAAATTTACGTACATTCCACTTAATTTCTATGTAGTTACAGATCTGACACCTAAACATTAAATTTTACATGCATGCTTTCTTACCCATGCATGAAAAGGTGTATTTCACTTTTTAAAAGTTTAAATGGTGGTATTTTTTATGTGATATTAAAGATTTGGGTGGTGTAAATGTAATAAGCTTAGGTGTTAGATATGTAAATAGAAAGGTTTTGGGTGGTATTTATGTAAATGCCTCTATTTTATTTTTTCTATATGAACATTTATTGATTTTTTTCCAAGCATATTGATTCTAGTCTAATATGTTACAATTGATTTTTTTTCTTTTGGTTTGTGGTGTAATTTGAGGAAGTTGCAACTTTTAGTGGTTTATATTATCATCAAATTTCCTTGATTTAACCCATGAAATTTTCTTATGGTATGTGTTTCTTGAATTTTGAGATCACATCAAAACAGAATGATGTGGTTTAAGGTGAACTTCAAATGTGAATTGAGTGATTTCTTTCATTCCATCACTTTGGTCAATTAAAAATAGACCCAAAGGCGATGTGGGGCATCAATTGATGTGGCAACAACCACGTGCCTGACCTGGACTGAACTGGTCTAGGCTTTGGGAGAGCATTATTGTCTCTCCAAGGCAGAGAGCTGTTACCCAATCGAAGTGGGTCTACTCCTAGTTATACTATTATCATAAATTTGCTTTCGTGATGTATTAAGGTTAGTTTTGTTGTGTGTTTGTTCAGGACAATCTTTGGTGTCTCTTATTCCCTTCTAGGGCTATATCGAAGGGTTTGAGTGCTGCTCTGGCTGTATCTCGCTCTCGAGGTGGTGATTATCTTTGTCCTCATCCTTCTTGCATCGCTGCCCTTCCTCACTACAACCGTCAGAACAATGTCTCTTTGCTTTTTACTTGTAGTTTCAACCACCCTCACCCCTTCACTATGCCGCTACCCTCATCCCAGCGCCCCATATTTTTGAGCTAAAAAACATTCAATTAATTATTTGAGCTAGCTTATTTTGATTTTGAGTCAGATTGAGCTCTATTCCATTTTGAGTTGAGTTGCCTTGTAATCAAATACAATGAATCACAAAAGCTGATTTGAGCTGTATTCAAACCTTTCAAGCCAATTTTTAGCTGCATTCAAAATTTTCGATTCAATTTTTAGCCGACTCTAGCTCCACTTGAAATCAGATCATTTACAGTCTTACTTTGAATTAAAGGCTTACATTATCAGACATGGGCTAAAATATATTCGTATTGATGAGGGGAATTCAATTAGCCCATAATATTGATATTGTTAAGGTAATATGGCGTTTAGTGAATATTGTGCAATTAAGGGGGTAAATAGATTTAGTTTCTATACATTTAGGGAGTTTTATATGAGGCAACAAGAAGAATTTCAAAAGAGAGAATTCAAACCTTCGTTTCCAGATGATCGGCAGTCATTAGCATCAACAAGATGGCGATCACCACAGACAAAATTGATAAAGTCACAATCACCAATTAGGTTGTCGACACTGAAGTTGTCATCCTTTGTTGACATCAATGTTGACGCCTACTGACACCAATAAATCAAAATACCATTCACCAACTCTAATGCAGATCTTGTTGTACCCAATGCCTACGCATGACATCGACACCATCAATGACCGTTGTCATCGCCTTGCTCGCCAACAATTCCAAGATTGAAGATTTTTATTGTCAACAAAGCAAAAGCCGACTTCACCAACATCGATGATTGCCATTACTAATAAGTTATAAGCTTGTTATTAACAACATAAACATCAGTCGTTTCATATAGCATGATAGACTCTTTCACCTATAAGACCAATGCTTACTGTCGACGCGAATGCTGACACCATCAGCACCGCTATCACCGACCGCCACTGTCACCAATGTCGATGACCACCATTGCTGAAATTTTTGTTGTTTACTGTCTTCTATCGACACCAATTTTATGCCTGAATTCATCAATAAGGTTGCAGTATGCTATCAAAAGCTGATGTTGACCGTTGCTTCGACATCAATGGCGACAGTTGCCACCAAAACCTGTGCCGAATTGCCAATACATCTTACGAATGAGTTCAGTTCATGCGATCAGTAATTGGATCAACACCTGGAATCGATACTATTACCGGCATTCGTCGCTATTAATAGGACCATCACCTACTATTGACATCAATGTCGATACTCACTCCATCACCGACACTAAGGTCAAGCTCGCCTTCTTTGCTGTTGGTTTTCACTCTTTAATGAAAAATAATTGAGTAGACCATCAATCATCCGTTGATATTATCTCCAATGACCCAAGACTCCGTTTTTTCATCATGGAAGCCATCTTCCGTATTTCATTATTATTATGTCCAATTGTGGGAAAATACATTTTGTGTAACTTCCGACTAACCACTGAAATTTTTTCAGCTTTGTCAAGTCTCAAAGTTCTTCTCCTCACAAATTTTTTTTAAAGAAATTCTCATGCTCTTATGTGCAACTTTCAACTTAACTGTGTACCCGCGTAGTATTCTATCATGCAATACTAGTACTTACGAGTTGTAGAACCCAATATGACTTGCCCTATTTGCTTATAATCGTATGCACCTCTTATGGGGACCAACATAGCTCATTCAAAAGGTTTTGTTGAGAATTTTGTTTTTATTTTCTAACATAAACTGGCCTTTTATTTACCTAACACAGCTTTCTTATCTGCACCATTAAAGTATACCTTTCAATGCAGACAGAATGGGAAGGTGGTTTCTTCCCTCTAACACTCCATTTCAGCGAGGACTACCCCAGTAAACCCCCCAAGTGCAAGTTCCCTCCAGGTTTCTTTCATCCAAATGTTTATCCATCTGGTACCGTTTGCCTATCAATTCTCAACGAGGACAGCGTACGTGAACAGCGTACGTGAAGCTCTTAAGTCCTATTTCGCAGCGAAATAAACCTGTGAATATTATTATATTGAGTCTCTCTGTTTTCTTTTTCTTTCAGGGATGGAGACCGGCCATCACCGTGAAACAGATCCTTGTAGGAATACAGGATTTGCTTGATCAGCCAAATCCAGCTGATCCTGCTCAGACTGATGGATACCATCTCTTCATTCAGGTTTCATTATTGCTAAAGATGATTTTATTCTCATACTTTTACCTTTTACTCTTGGGGCATTTGCACACATACCACCTAATTCTTATGTATTTACATCTCTAACACATCACTTTTTGTATTTATTCCACTCAAACCGTTCACATCACATAAAAAATACTACTATTTTAACTTCTAAAAAGTGAGATACATTTTTTCATGTATAGATAAGGTGGCATGTGTGTCTGTGTGGGGAGAATTGTGTCAAAATGCTCCCTTGACTTTTTGTGAAGGTCCATTTTAGTCCTGAGTTTATAGAAGTGTTAATTTAGTCTCCAAACTCTTTTATTATGTGTGCTGAAATAGTCCCTGAGTTTATAAAAGCATTAAGGGAGAACTATTTTAGCATCAATTAAAAGGTTGGTATGTAAATCTTCCCTTACCCAAGTCTATGTTATTATGACCCGTTATAATATGAAATGCAGGATCCGGTGGAGTACAAAATCAGGGTGAAGCAACAGGCAAAGCAATATCCTCCGCTGGTTTAGGGTAAATGTTTGATATTGTCTGTAACATGTTTGGTTCATTTAACTTTTGTGATTACTCTTTTGAAGATTATTCGATTGGAATTGGAGTGCGTGTGATTACTGGAGTTGGTATTTTACATGTACTGGATGATATATGTGGCTTTATCTGGTGTTTTTATATTAAATTTGCGCGTTAACTTTGTCCGCCTTGGTCAGGGTTGGCAACCCAATTTCTTGTATTTGCTCTTTGGTTTGGATAAATTTCGTGACCATCTGAAAGATAGGACTCGATACCTAAGCGATGTTAAGGGCAAAAGCTTAGTTGGTATGACTGGCTTACGAGTTGTTTGAGACCATTTTGCTCGTTTGATCGTTTTTTAGAATGTGTTAGCTTTCTTTACTCTAAATTTTAAACTTTTTTGGGCAATTTTAGTTGGTCACTTCTATTTTTTAGTTGGGTTACTTCTACTTTTTATTTTTTATTTTTATTTTATTTATGTTATGATTTGAAACAGAAGTATTTCCTTGTTTGGTACTTTTTTTTTTTAATAATATTCAAACTCTTCAAAATTTTAAACTTTTTTGGGCAATTTTAGTTGGGTTACTTCTACTTTTTATTTTTTGTTTTTAATTTATTTATGTTATGATTTGACCAGAATTATTTCGTTGTTTGATACTTTTCTTTTAATAATATTCAAGACTCTTCAAAATTATTTGAGTGTTTTAAAAAATATGATAATTTGTTAAAAAAAAAACATATAAAATATACACTAAACAAGCATTTTAAATAAAGTGAAACATAAAATTGGTCCCAAACAAGCCATTTATTTCTTTTTTTTTTCTTTTGCTTATGGGGTGGGTTCTCAGTTTGTTCTTTTTAATTTTTTATTTTATTTTCAACTAATGTGCTGCCTTCACATTTGATTATTTCTCTATTTGTTTTTGACAATGAGATTGGATGTAATTATGATGGTGATATGTAATAGGGAGGATTGAGTACCTTAAGCTTTGGGATTATTTTTTTGTTTTAAAAAAATATTTTTTTAGTGTATTTATTTTTATCTTTTTCATTTTTTTATTTAAAAAAGATATATTGTTTTTTAAAATATTATTTTGAATGTTAGACATGTTATAATATATGTAATAATAATAATAATAATAATAGTAATAGTAAAATATAAAAAATTAAAATTCAAAAAGTAAAACAATTGATCCAATCTGCCCCTTAGGTTTAATCTAACTAAAATGTATCTCGTACACAAGTTCCAGTTGTGTGTCATGCTCCGCCATATTCTAGGGTACTCTCATGGGATGGAAGGTTCTAGAGAAGGCCTGAATATAGAAAGACATTCAAGGGACTCTAGAAGATTCCACCACATTCCAAAGAATGCTAGAAGGAAAAGCTCTAAGGAAAATTCAAGAGTAACCTGGAAAGTTCTAGGGCTATGTATGTACATAAGAGAGGAGTTTAGAACTCTCTAGAAACTAGAATAATCTAATGTATTCTAAAATGTTTTCTTGGGCTTGAAGGAGACTATAAATAAGAGCCCATTCCCTCATTTGTAATCACCTAAGAAAGCATCCAAGCTTCTAAGCTTTCAAGTGTTATAGTTGTTTTTTCTTAGTGAGGTGTTCTTTTCTATAATATTTCTCCTTGCTCTTCTTCTTAAGAGTGCTTTGTGCTTATAAGTCCCAGTGTTGTGAGGGATATTAGGATAATTAAGTGCTACAAAAGAGCACTAAAGCCGCACGGGTGACTAGAAAAAAGTCAGTCCGTGACATGTTGCTGCATTTGAATAGCATTAATATTTGCCATCTTAAATTTACTGCCAATGTTATGAAAGTGCAGCAAATATAAATGATGAGATTTTGTTCGAATGATTATGAAATGTGTTATTACCAATTCATTTGTGTTGCTTGCTACTTGTGCTTTCAATTTATTGCTTGGTAGCTTGGCTTTGGAGTTCTGAACATATTCATGGATATTTTTGTGTTGCATGCTTGTTGTCCTTTCAATTTGCTGATCCTCATGTTGGATTTTGCTTGTGGTACGAGTTGGTGGGATTTTTTTCTGCTAGGTTGTTGCCTTTCAGTTTGCTGGCTTGATTTTGCCTTTCAGTTTGCTAAATATGTTGGTGGGGTTCTCTTTTGATGTGCTGTTGCTTTTCAGTTTGTTGGTGGGGTTCTCTTTTGATGTGCTGTTGCTTTTCAGTTTGTTGGCTCGGCTTTGCCTTTTGATTTGCTCGGTATTTTGGTGGGATTTTCTTCTGTTGGTCCGTTGCCTTTTGGTTTACTCAGTTTGAGAGATTGAGCTTGGGTTCTGGCATGTTTAGGGCTGTCAATTTGGCTCGTTGTTCGTGAATAGCTCATGTTCGACTCGTTCGTTAAGCCTAACGAGTCGAACACGAACAACAGTTTGTTCACTCGTGTTCGGCTCGAAATGGCTTGAAAAAAAAATTATATAACTTTTTATATAAAAATATATTAAATATATTATTTATATAATAATATATTATATATATATTTATGTCAAGTTTAAATCATAACACCTCTTGTGGCAATGTGGTTAGTGTCTTCTTTTATATATATTTAATTCATGTTCGAATCCCACACTTTACATTTATTTTTTTCAATTTTAGTTTAACGAGCCAATTTCGAGCCGAACAAGAACACACTGTTCACGAGCCGATTTTGAACACGAGCTATTTCGAACGAGCCGAACACGAGCCAAGCCTGAGCTCGCTCAAGCTCGGCTCGTTTACAACCCTAGGCATTTTGATGGGTTTTACTAAGAAGGCATTTTTATTTTTATTTTTCTTCATTTTTTTTGTACCTGTTTTTATAAATTCAATATTTTTTAGTCTTAAAATTCGAGCTAATTTTAGCTCAACTGAACAAAACGAGCAAAATTTAGCTTTTTTATTCGAACACAAACAAAACATTACTGAGCAAATTCGAACATGAGCTGAATTCAAGCGTAATTATTTAAAAACGAGCCGAAAACAAACATGGACTAAACGCGCTCATGTTCGACTCGTTTACACCCCTAATCACAACTCATGTCGCCATGTGGTTCTGTGCTTTATATTGCATAAAAATGATGCATGTTCGAATTCAATACCATATATTTGTTTTTCTAATTGATTTAAACGAATTAATTTTGAGCCGAACACGAACAAAAATACGTAAATTGAGTCAAACACAAATACACTGTTCATAAGCACTTTCAAACACGAGCTAATTTTAAATAAATATATTTTTAAATGTGCCGAACATGAGTTAAATCGTAGCTCACTCAAACTCGGCTCATTTATAGCTCTAGTGGTGATAAACTTGTCATTCAAACACAAAAAAAAAAAAAAAATTACCGAGCAAATTCAAACACGAGCCGAATTCAAGCACAACTATTTAAGAACGAGCTAAAAACAAACACAGCCTCAACTCGCTCAACACGAGCTGAATTAATGCATTTTTTATTTCTTATTTTATACTTTACACTTTTTGTTCCAATGTAGTTCAAATCTCACATTTATATAGAAAAATCACATTTAATTAGGCAATTTAAAATTAAAAAGATCCTTAATAGGCAATATATTATAAAATTTAAATAAGAAAGAAATTTGTTCAAATAAATATATTGGATATATTCATTTTTTTTACTATTTTATAAAGAGAAATTTACATACATACCACCCAATTTATATGTATATACATATGTAACACCAAAAATTGTGCTATGCATTTATACCACCCAAATCTTTCTTACAACATAAAAAATGTCACCATTTTGACTTTTAAAAAGTTAAATACCCTTCTCTTCTTACAACATAAAAAATGTCACCATTTTGACTTTGAAAAAGTTAAATGCAAAGGGAAGGTGGTATGCGTGTAAAGATTGAAAATAAAAGTTTAATATGTAATTACATAGAAAGTGAGGGGTATATATGTAAATTTTATTTTTTTACCTTTAATAAAGGGTCATAAAATCAAATACAAGTTTGAATCTGCATTTTTTTTTTAATAATTTTGTGGATCACTCCCATCTTTTCATTAATAAAAGCTTACGAACAAGACATCACAGAACTGAGTAAACAAAATACAACCTGATTTAAACATAATTAAAGAAAAGGAAAACCAAATAAACATAAAAAAAAGAGCCCGCTCGTTCTCCCCAACAACATAGGAGAAGACATCGTCCACAATAATCAAATGGATGAAATTGAGAAAGTTCGCTAAGAGAGCAGCAAAACAAGCAGTGATAGAAGCTTATCTTCTAGCCAAAGCAAAAACCAAATGTCACCGAGATAGGTAGAAAGAAAGAAGCTGATTTCCATTCCGCGCCTCCAAGGCAACAAGTGACTTTTCAATAAAAAATGAAGTATACGTATTTTGAACCAATAAAATATCGCTGGAGCAAAAGCAGCTAGTAAATGTTGCTCCTCTCCAAAAAAGAAAACCCAACATGTTTTTCATGATTTTTCATGGAGGGCCCGACAAACCATAAGCATTAAAAATATAAAAACCTTCCCATCAAAAAGAGTCTATAAGCATCCAACTTTCAACAACCAACTCAACATAAAAAGAAAACAACAGTAGCCTTTATCAGGGGATTAACAACATTCTATTATATAAAAACAACATTCTATAGAGAAGGAAAATTTTCCTAACCAGTCACCATAAAACAGAAATCAGATAGAAATGAAAGTTTGAAAGTATAATATCAAGTACATCGAATCGATCAGACATTCCCAAAATCCAGAAACCATGTCAGAGAAAACCCAATCATCCAAAGAAATAAAAGCAAGATGGACATTGCAACAAGAAGTATCAACAAAGTATACAAAGGACGATTATAATATAAACAACACTTAAATATGGGAGGGAACATTATCCCTAAACTTTCTTCTTCTACTTTTCTCCTTGACAACAAAAAGAATTTTGAAAAGAATATTATTTTTGTGAAAGAAATCGTTGAAGATCCTAGCATTTCTTTCTAAGTATATAATATATGAAGTAATATGAGAGGCAAGCAAAAAGAAATTACTGAAAATTTTGCAGTTATCAAATTCAGCATAAACCATGAGCTGACGTAAAAAACATCCTTGGTGGAAAAAATGAACAAAATGATACTATGAAATATAGTAAAAACAAAATTGCATTAGAAATATATGAGAATGAGACTCTTGGTAACAATGATATAAAACAAACGAGGAGAAACCAAAATGCCACTAGCGGCAAGAATATCTATTTTTTTGAGCCCCTAACCATAATTTTTCAGACAAAGACAACAAATTTGAGTGAAGTCCTTTAAAACATATATTTTTTATGCCAAGAAATCAGATGATGACCATCATATAAATAAAAAAAAAGTGTTGTAGTGAGAGTAAAAAATTGTGCCCATTCGAAAACAAACAACATGAGAATCCAATATGAAAGTTTGGATGATGAGAGCAATGCATTCAGTTGGGGTATTTTAAGAAGTAGGGAGATTCCATGAGTGGCCTCTATTAAAGTGAAGAAGTAAAACATCCCTTGGATAGCTAAACCAAATGAAAATTTGATCCTTAAACCTTTCATAAAGTGAAGTGCCTTCCAACCAAGAGCCATAAAAGAAAAAAAGTCCACTTTTTGTGCTGGTATGAAGAGTGAGGCCTCTTCTAAAAGTTTTAGTGCCTTCAAGAGTGAGGCCTCTTCTAAAAGTGTTAGCCAACTTCCTGAGGTGATTCTAGAGATTAGAGTGCTTATTCTTCATTTTAAACCATAGAGCCCAAATTTTGAAAGCTCCAGTTAGAAAGAATGAGATTGTAATTATAGATTCTTCAAATAACCTTGGCCTTGCACATAGAGTTGATGGTGTCAAGATTAGATAACGCCAAACCTCCAATATACTTAGATTTGGTGGTGGTATTCCAAGAAATGGAATGCATACAGTTAGTGGAATTATTAAAGTGAATAAAATTGTTCATTAAAGAAGTAATTTTCTTCCTAATAACTCTAGGGATAATGGTTGATCTAAACCAATAAAATAAATTATTTCATATGGTGTACCTTAGGAGTTAAGACCTACCAAAAAATGATAATTTTTTTTCTGTTTCCAACCACTAAGATAAAGCTGAAGCTTAGACTGTTAATAGTAATAGAGGTGGGCTTAGCACTATTTATGGTAATGCCCAAGTATTCCCAAGCAAAGGATTTTTCTTGAAAGCTAAGTATATCTCAATACAACCCTTTTTCGTGGTCAGAGACAGATTTATAGAAGCATAAAGTTGATTTGAATGGATTGATTTTGAGATTTGAGAGCTCATAGAAAATATCATGCACCAAAGTCAACTCATAGTCATCTTTTCAGTCTCATAAGTTGTTCAAATCAGATCGTTCAAATTTTAAGGTCGTAATCTTCGTTTTCTTACCATTGGCTGTTAACATTAAAGGGCTATATGGCAATGTATGAGATTTAAGTTGGTAAGGTATAGTAAATTATGAAATCCGAATTTAGTAAATCTAGAAAGGTTTATATCCCAAAATCTATTTTGGCAACAGATTTAGTAAATTTTGTGAAACCATTAGACTAATTTATGTGAGGATTTAAAAATCTCTTATGACCATCAGGTTTTAATAGCAAATCATGATATGATTTCAAAAATTATGTAAATTCAAATTCTTAAAACATTTCAAAATAATCAAAATCTTATAGCTTCTTAAATTCAATTAATATTTTATTTCAAATTATAATGATTAATAATTATATATTTACTAAACTATTAATTAGAAATACAAACTTTATTAAATTAATTATTGAATAGAAGTTTAACATTTATAAAAGAATAATTAAATAGTTATTAATTATATTAATTATTAATTACTTATAATTATTGAATGAATAAAAATAATATTTATCATTTATTAATTACTAATTAAATGATAAATATACATTTATTTACATATAATTAATCTGATAAAACTAATAAAGAATCAATTAAATTAATAAAATAAACTTAAATAAAATAAAATTAATCAAACCCTCCCCAAATTCACTCCTTTCTCTTTCCCCCAAACATTCGTACGTCCCTCCCCCGCTGCGTGCTTCGTCCAAAACGATCTTCTTCCATAGGAGCTAGCTGGGAACGCGACGACGGGATCGCGACTTATCGTGATCCGAAACGCTCATTTTGATCCTCCTTCCTCTCCTCTCCTACCCGAACAAGTTTAGGTTAAATCCGGCTTAAATCCCGCTTTAAATCGAGTTTCGCTTCTTGTCGTGCCATCTCATATTGTTACGTCAACGCTACTTCTACGCAAATCACCGAGCTTGGCGGCGATCGTCGGAGATGTCCTACGACGACGTGGAGATCGAGGACATGGAGTGGAGCGAAGAGCTCCAGGCGTTTACATACCCTTGCCCCTGCGGCGATCTATTTCAGATCACGAAGGAAGAACTCCGCGTTGGCGAGGAAATCGCTCGATGCCCTAGTTGTTCGCTTTACATCACGGTTATATATAATATGGATGACTTTGCGGACTCCGATGGAGGAAGGCCTCCATCTGAGCAGCTTCAGCCAATCGCAGTCTCATGAGCAGTCCTAGTATCCGATTTAAGGTTAGGGTTTTTCTTCTTTCCCATTCAAAACAAATACGATTTTTTTGTTCGTAAATTGTGGAGATTATGTGGCAATTTTGTTGTTTGTGGATTTATCTTCTTAGTTTTTCGTATACGATTGCCAAGGTCTTGAAGTGTTTTGCTGATTTAATATTTTTGCACGTCTTCGTTGAAATCTTGCGGTTGGAAGCTTTAATATGGAATATCTCGCCTAGACCTCGGAATGAAATGTATAACGTGGGGATTGATTGCTAGTCTTTTAAATTGATGATCGGTTTCCAAAGTTATTAAGTATTGTTTGAGACCATAATCGTTTAAGTAAATTGGAATACTAGAATTCTAGCTTAAGAGGGTAGTAAGTAATCAAAAGTTAAATCTTTTGGCGATTCATATAACTGGTTAGGTATTAAGAAAAGAAATATATGTTAGGGATATAAAACAACTAGGGAAAG